CTGGGTGTCTGGTTGTCCAGGTGTCCAGGTGGTGGGGTGTCTGGGTGGTGGAGGGCCTGGGTGTTTGGGTGCTCAGGTGTCCAGGTGGTGGGGTGTCCAGGTAGTGGAGTGTCTGGGTGTCTGGGGGTTGGGGTGTCTGGATATTCGAGTGGCAGGGTGTCTGGATGGTGGGGTGACTGAGTATCCAGGTGTCCAAGTGACCCTCAGACACCCAGACACCCGACACCCAGACACCTGACACCCAAACACCCAGACATCTGACACCTGGACACTCAGACACCCAGACACCAGACACCCAACACCCAGACACCCGGACACCCAGAAACCTGACACTCAGACACTCAGAAACCCAGACACCCAGACACCTGACAGCCAGACACCTGACACTCAGACATCCGAACACCCAGACACTCGGACACCCAGACATCCAGACACCTGACACCCCACCACCTGGACACCCAGACACCCTGCCACCTGAACACGCTGCCACTCAGTTACTTGGACACCTGGATACTCAATCACCCCACCATCCAGACACCCTGCCACTCCAATACCCAGACACCTCAACCCCCAGACACCCAGACACTCCACTACCTGGACACCTGGACAACCCGCCACCTGGACACCTGGACACTCAAACACCCAGACCCTCTGCCACCTAGACACCCTGCCACTCAGACACCGAGACACTCCATCACCTGTACATCTGGACACCCAGACACTCAGACACCTCACCACACAGATACCCAGAAACCTGACACCCAGAAACCTGGACACCCAGACACCCAGACACTTGACACCAAGATACCTGGACACCCCACCACCCAGACACCTGGACACTCTGCCACTCAGCCACCCCACCACCTAGACACCCTGCCACTCAGATACCCAGATACACTGTCCCCCAGACACCAAGACACCCAGATACCCCACCACCTGGAAAATGCTCCACCCAGACACTCTGCCACCTGGACACCTGGAGACCCCTCCACCCACAGACCCCACCACGAGGATACCCTATCACCCAGACACACAGACACTCAAATACCCTGCCACCCCACCACCCAGACACTCTGTCGCCTGGACACGCAGACACCCTGCTGTCCCACAACCCAGACACCCTGCCACCCTGCCACCTGAACATGCCACCACCTGGACACACAGACATCCTGTGACTCAGCCACCTGGACACCATGCCACCCAGCCACCCGGACACCAAGCCACCCAGCTGCCCCGCCGGCCACATGTGGCTGACTCCCTGCTCACCCTCCCAACTACGTCAGCCACAGGGAACTGGGGTGGGGTCCCAGCACCCCTAGGCAGGCAGTTCCATAGGGGATTACCGCCAGCTGTCTTTCACAGAGAGACAGCCAAGCTACAGATCGATCAACCCCATTCATAATCAAACGAAAATGAATCAAACCAGATGTCAGTAGTCACCCATGAAATTAATCAAGGCATAAGACAGTAGCACTCTGCTCCTTAGTAGGGATGTAATGAGATGTGTGCCCCCTTGTTGGGAGAGTAAGTTAATGATAACACCTCTCCAGAAAGGATTCTGACCTAATAAAACAACTCACCTTAAAAAATGTCGCATACTTGGCGGGGCATGGTGGCTCACGCCTGTAATCCCAACACTTTGGGAGGCCAAGGTGGGAGGATCACTTGAGGTCAGGAGTTCGAGACTAGTCTGGCCAACTTGGCGAAACCCGGTCTCTACTAAAAAATACACAAATTAGCCAGGCGTGGTGGCAGGCACCTGTAATCTCGGGTACTTGGAAGGCTGAGGCAAGAGAATCATTTGAACCCAGGAGGCAGAGGTTGCAGTGAGCTGAGATCACACCACTGCACTCCAGACTGGGCGACAGAGCAAGAATCCGTCCCCCCCCCCAAAAAAAAAAGCTGCATACTTTTAAATCCAGCAATTTGACTTTGAGGAATGAATCCTAAAGACTAGAATGCAATAAAGAAAATATTAACACAGGAGTACTGTAATACTTCAGCATTACAGTAGTAAAAACCCACAAATGGAAATCACACCAGGCACATGGTTAGGCACAGTGGAATATTATGCAGCTATTACAAATATTTACAAGGAATTTAAAATTACATCAAAAATATTATTTAACATTCATTGATAAAGGTGTTCAAAGAGGTATACAGGAGAAGAAGACAAGTATGTTAGAAACATACATACATAGGCTGGGCGTGGTGGCTTACGCCTGTAATCCCAGCACTTTGGGAGGCTGAGATGGGCAGATCACGAGGTCAGGAGATTGAGACCATCCTGGCTAACACAGTGAAACCCCATCTCTACTAAAAATACCAAAAAAAAAAAAAAAAATTAGCCAAGCATGGTGGTGGGCGCCCGCAGTCCCAGCTACTCGGGAGGCTGAGGCAGGAGAACGGCTTGAACCCAGGAGGCAGAGCTTGCAGTAAACCAAGATTGCACCACTGCACTCCAGCCTGGGCGACAGTGCGAGACTCCATCTCAAAAAAAAAAAAAAAAAAAAAAGAAAGAAATATACATACATAGCATTAAAACAATGGCAGGAAAGACACCAAATCTGTTACCAGCAGTTTTCTGGGTAGTGAATTTGTGGTTTTTATTTCATTATACTTTTCCGGGTTTTTCTAGGTTTTCAGCAAGAAATACTGACAAAAGGAAATGAACACTTTTCAGAGACTTAATTCAAAACAGAATTAAAGGAATACACATGAAATTGGTAATAGTGGCTGCCTCTGGGGTTGGTGTGGGAGAAGGCCTTCCTTTATAGCTTGCACCCTCCTGTACCTTTTAAATTTTGTACCAGGCAGGTATTACTTATTCAAAAATCAATACATTTCTACAAAGAAGATGCAGATATATAAATACTAAAACCACAGGAGCCGAGAAGCAGCAGCTTGATTTCCTGGGAGAAATCAAGAAAAGTGTTTTCGGCTCCTGGGGGAGATGAGACTCCAGGTTTAGGCTGCCCTTTTAGGCCCAAAGCCTCCAAGTCACCCCAGGACCCAGCTAGTCCCAGTGTCTTCACTCAGCAAGGCCTGCTCCATCAGACACAAAACTGGTCAGGAGTTGAACCATCTCCTCCCTGGGCATTTTCCCCTGCGGTAGAGGTGGGCAGGCTGTGGGAGGGGCTGCAGTGGACACTGGGCCTCTGAGCTGGGACCATCTGTGTCCCCTAGGCCTGACACAGATCAGGACGTCATGCACGAGTACGAATGAGTGGGGCCCAATCGCCTAACAAAGGGAACTCGATTCCAGCCCTGATTGTCCCAGGAGGATTTGCTGTAAGCAACTGAAGAAATTGGCATTTGTTCAATGTGGAAAAAGTGTCCCCCAACTTTGAAGCACTGAACCAAACATCTTTGTTGAGGTTTCATTCTCATGCTATCTGCAAATCAATGTCTTTTCCTTTACACTAAAAACAGGGCAACTTCAGAGCCCACTAAAGCTACACAAAATTGGGAGGGGGCATGCTCTGATTTCCCACTTTCAGTTCCAGGGACCGTATGAAGGACTTATTTGCGGGAAGAGCAGAAATGATCAGTTCAACAAGAAAGGCCACACTCAGTTTTCACAGACAGACAACCCCTCCTTCCCAACCCTACCCTGTCCCCCATCAACTTAAGTGGTACAAAAATGATTAAAGTGGCTTCATTAACTCCAGGAGTGTGGCTTGTGCTAGGGCACCTGATTTGTGCTAGACAAGGCCAGCAGAAGAGCAATCGCTCTGCAAGAGAAAGGCTTGGCCCTTCCTTAATCACCATGGGTTATAATTCACCCTGAAGTCCTTACATACATGGAGGTGCCAAGATACCGAGCTTTCCTCTAAGCGGGGCCTCAGAAGTGCCTCCCTCTGAGCCTCCAGGGGCTGAGAGCCCCAAGTCCCTGCCCTGCCCCAGGACCTGGGGACCAAGAAATAACATTTTTTGTAGAGATGGAGGTCTCACTATATTGCCCAGGGTAGTTTCAAACTCTTGGCCTCCAGTGATCCTCCCACTGTGGCCCCCAAAAGCGCTGGGATTACAAGCATGAGCCACCTCTCCTGACCTACTCTTGCATTCTTTAAAGCCACAAATGTGGTACCTTCCCTTCTGTTCCATTTGTAAGACTTTGAATGTTAGAGATACTTTACACATAATATGTGGGAAAATGACTTTTTAGAAAAACATTTATTGTAATCGATCACACTCAAGTTGTAGTTCTGAAAGCAAAGTGAAAACACACAGTACAGCTATGCCTCAGTATCCATGGGGGATGGGTTCCACGACTGCAACCCCAACCCTCAGGCACTAACATCTGAGGATGCTCAAGTCCCTGATGGGCAATGGCATAGTGTTTGCTTATAACCTATGCACACCTTCCTGTATAATTTAAATCATCTCTAGATTTCTTATAATACCAGTACACTATAAATGCTATGTATGCTAAACCGTATTGTTTAGGGAATAATGGCAAGGAAAAAAAGGTCTGCATGTGTTCAGTACAGATGCAATTTTTTTTCCAAATATTTTCTATCCGAGGCTGGTTGGATCCAGATGTGGAGCCCACAGTTATGGAGAGCTGATTGTTCTGGGGAAATCTTCAGGGGAGAAACATTTCTTAGAGATGGTTTATATCACACCACTTCAGAAAAAGCAATACAGGCATACCTCATTCTACGATGCTTTGTGGATACTGTTTGTTTTTGTTTTTGTTTTGGAGACGGAGTCTCACTCTGTCACCCAGGCTGGAGTGCAGTGGCGCCATCTTGGCTCACTGTAACCTCTGCCTCCCGGGTTCAAGCAATTCTCCTTCCTCAGCCTCCCAAGTAGCTGAGACTACAGGCGAGCACCACCGCACCCAGCTGATTTTTTGTTTTTTCAGTAGAGACGGGGTTTCACTGTGTTAGCCAGGATGGTCTCGATCTCCTGACCTCGTGATCCATCAACCTCAGCCTCCCAAAGTACTGGGATTACAGGAGTGAGCCACCATGCCTCGCCTGTGTTTTTTTTTTAATTGAAGGTTTGTAGCAGCCCGGCATCAGGCAAGTCTATTTGGCACCATTTTCCAACAGCCGTGTGCTCACTTTGTGTCTCTGTGTCAGCATTTTGAACAATAAATATTTTTAAATTAAGGTTTGTACATTTTTTAAACATAATGCTATTGCACATTTAATGGACTGCAATATAGAGTAAACATGACTTTCATATGCACTGGGAAACCAAAAAAATGTGTTTCCTTGCTTTACTGTGATGTTGGCTTTACTGAGGTGGTCCGGAACTGAACCCACAATATTTCCGAGATATGCCTGTACTTTTTGCTAAAAATATTTCATTTGAGAAATAAACCTCAAGAACTACCATGACTTTTCAGATGGGAAGAGTAAGGCCCTGGCAGGGCGAGTCTAGGTGTGCAGCCTAGTGGGGGCCGAGGTCAAGTCCACTTGGTATTTGAGGCTTCACTCAGCAGGCCGCCCGTCCCCTCCATGGGGCAATTCAGCAGTCCCTGGGTAGCAGAGGGTTGCACTAAGAGGTAAACGTGATTCCAGCATGGGCTGCTCCAAGGCCCTGAGACCTACAGGGGGGTGGGATCCAGTACTGCAGCAGGTGCTTGGAAGAGGAGTCATCTCCCAAGATGAGAAGGCCCCCAGCGGAGGATGAGGTGCAGTCAGACCGTCACTGAGCATGATCACTTCCCCAGACCCACACGGGTGAGAGGACTCAGCAGATGCCTCCGAGGCCTTTACTCTTCACCAGGGGGCAGTCAGAGGGCTGTCATGGCACACCAGTGAACATGCTACCAACACACACTGCTTCATGAGTAACGTCTGGAACGTGACACTGCACGGCGGTGGCCTCTCCAGCAGGACGTTGCTAGTAATACACTGATGACGTGGAGATTCCCCAGGGGCATCCACTGGGCTTCTCCCAACTCCCAAGCCACCTCTTCAGAGTCACAGAGTCATCTAAAGGGGCCCCCCACCTCCCCGGAGGCGCAGCCTAGTCATCGTACTGGATCTCGGCCCGCAGCTCCTTGGTGATATAGTTCACCAGCATGGCCAGCAGCTGCTGCTGCAGGGTCTCGCTGCCCATGACCAGCGCGGTCAGCTGCACGGCATCCGTCCACTCTAGGTGCCTGATGATGGCCATGGCTTCCTTAAAGAGCTTCTGTTGCTCGGCAGGGGGCAGCTCCATTAGGATTTGAGGAATTGGCTTAAACTGTCCACTTGTCATCCAGGCACCTAACAGCCCCCCGACAGCCCCCCCTAGAAAACAAGGAATCGTTCAATTAGTGGGGTCTTATTCATAAGCGATGGCCTTTCTTAAGTTCCCACTGAGCACACATCACCATTACCATGAGCAGGCGCATTCATGAGCGAGCCAGAGCGGGCTTGGTGCCATGCCTGCTCCGCCAGCCAGTGTGGAGGGCAAAGGTTAATGCAGTCTTCTGTCCATTTGGCTCAGATAATTGACACCCAACACACATTCCCTAAGCTCCACATATTTAGGGATGCAAAATGATGCCTGCCTGCCCCATCTCCCACCTCAGTGCTGGGCCCACTAAGATCTTCTTCATGACCTGATGGAGGTTCCTGGGCTTACTGCAAAAATCCCTTTCTCATCACAAAGGAGAAGGCTGAGAAACAAACGTATTTTCTTTTTTTTTTCTTTTTTTTTTAGACCGAGCCTCGTTCTGTTGCCCAGGGTGGAGTGCAATGACACGATCTCGGCTCACTGCAACCTCTGACTCCCGGGTTCAAGCCATTCTCCCACCTCAGCCTCCTGAGTAGCTGGGATTACAGGTGCACACCATCACACCTGGCTAATTTTTGTATTTTTAGTAGAGACTGGGTTTCACCACGTTGGCCAGGCTGGTCTCGAACTCCTGACCTCAGATGATCTGCCTACTTCAGGCCCCCACAGTGCTGGGATTACAGGCGTGAGCCACTGTGACCAGCCACAAATGCATTTTCAAGAGAAACCATCTCGGGCTGGGTGCAGTGGCTCATGCCTGTAATACCAGCGCTTTGGGAGGCCAAGGCAGGTGGATCACCTGAGGTCAGGAGTTTTGAGACCAGCATGGTCGATATGGTGAAACACCATCTCTACTAAAAATACAAAAATTACCTTGGCGTGGTGGCACACACCTGTAATTCCAGCTACTCAGAAGCTGAGGCAGGAGAATCACTTGAACCTGGGAGGTGGAGGTTGCAGTGAGCCGAGATCATACCACTGCACTCCAGCCTGAGCAACAGAACGAGACTCTGTCTTCAAAAACGAAACCGTCTCAGTGGTGAGACTGAATTTTCTCCACTAGGCAGCTGATAAGCTCCTTGCCCCTGAACTTACGAAATATCCTGTGAGCCCACGTGGTTACAGGGCCTGGGGACAGATAAGGAGGCTCTTTCCTCTTGAAGCAGTGCTTTTCATAGAACCCCTCCAAGTTGTACAATGATAAATAACAAATCTGGCCGGGTGCAGTGGCTCATGCCTGTAATCTCAGCAGTTTGAGAGGCTGAGGCGGGCAAATCACGAGGTCAGGAGTTCGAGACTAGCCTGGCCAACATGGTGAAACCCCGTCTCTACTAAAAATACAAAAAATTAGCCAGGCATCGTGGTGGGCACCTGTAATCCCAGCTACTCAGGTGGTTGAGGCAGGAAAATCACTTGAACCTGGGAGGCAAAGGCTGAAGTGAGCTGATACTGCGCCACTGCACTCCAGCCCGGGCAATAGAGTGAGACTCCACCTCAAAAAAATAAAAAATAAAAATAAACAACAAATCTAAGGTAGTTTACTATTTCTCCTTCTGCCACCCTAAAAGGGCAGAAACATTATTTTTAAATGTAAACTCATTGCCAAGGTTAGGTCATGCTATTCTGGGACTTAAAGACCTTGTATCCATGGAAAGTTCTACCTGAAGAGGCCACGTGCAGGATATGGTGCGGAGGAAGGGAAGGTGCCCTAGGGAAGGGGTCCAAAGTCAAGTGCCTCCAAGAGCCAGGGAGGAACTAAGAAGAGTGAGGGGGCAGGTGGGCCTTACCTGGCCCCTCCTCTGCTGAGGTCGGATGGCTGGCAGGCTCTGATTTCATCCCAGCCTACTGTCTGGGCCAACCAAGCCTTGAACCGCATAGACCTTCTGAGGCCCAACACACAGAAGCAATCCTCCCACCTTGGCCTCCCAAGTAGCTGGGATTACAGGCTTGCACCACCATGCCTGGCTAATTTTTCTTTTATTTTTTGTAGAGACAGGGTCTCATTATGTTGCCCAGTCTGGTCTCAAACTGCTGGGCTCAAGTGATCTTTCAGCCTCAAGCCTCCCAAAGTGCTGAGACTACAAAGGCATGAGCCACTGCACCCAGCTGGTTTTAGCTTTGACAAGCATACAGTAATATATGTGAACGCCAGGAGAACCAAAACTGGGTTTGGAGGACATACGGGAATCCTTTGTACTATCTTCGCGACTTCTCTGTAAACCTAACATTATTGCGAAATGAAAAGTTTCTTTCAAAAATGCAGCCCAAGCCAGAGAGAACCCACTGGCTGGCTGGACTCAGACGACAGGCAGCAAAACCAGTGCTTGCTGCTTCTGGAAGCCAAGCACCGAGGCCTCTGGAGCAGACACCACCCCGGGTATGCAGCTGGGGCCAGCCCCATAACCCAGAGGCTGAATGCGACACGCAGACAGCGTTCATCTCCTCTGCAAAAGAAAAGCACATTCTGGGGAGGGAGAGCCAGCTAATTTACAAGTTTTACTGAACTTTTCCCCACGACACCAGTGAAATGCTCAGAGTCGACAAGAGTTGCACTCATGTGCACTAAACCTTTATGAGAACATCAATATTTGATTTAGAGCAGCACTTAATGCAAAAAGTCGCCAGGAATATCGACCAGCAAATTACTGGCTCTTTGGAGAGGAGAAAATTCCTTTGTTTTCAGGGTAAAATGATGCTCCCGCCCGTGAACAGGGGCTGGAAGTAGTGAATCCCCCGGGCTCTCTTAGTGGACATCCTGTTCTCCACCAGCTTTTACTCAATCTGAATAAAATATGTGCTCCCAAAATAGCATCTGGGCACAGCTACATGATAAAATGATCCCCAAAGCTTTTCCCTGAGCACTGATGGAGGTGGGGGCACAGATGCAGAGTGTCATAGAGGAAGAAGGAAACGGTCCTGTCTCCCCCATCTCCGGTTCCTTCTCAGATGGCAAGATGCTGAAGTCAGGCTTCACTAATTCATGGGGTTTGGAAAGGAAAATATGGAGAGGGAAGGTCTGGGGCCACCCACATATTTATTTTTCTCCCCAATGTGAGCCTCAGCTTAACGAAATGTCCTTGAATGTCAATCCCACTACAGAAGGGAAGAACAGAGCAGGAACCCCACCAGCGAGCTGGGGAACGGAAGGCAACCTCAGCAGAAAAGCGCTTCTCTCTCCCGCCTGTGAGCATGGAGACTACGTGCCACACAGAAGGGATCTCCACCAGATGGTAAGCTCTCCAGGCCCCGTGTCCCCAGCTCAGGCTGGCCAGCACAGAGCAGGCATGTGGCATATATCTGCCATGCCCGATGTGACAAATGCAGTCATCATAAGAATCCCTGTTAAACAGAAGCAGGTCCCTGCAGCCACCTAGAAGCCACCAGGAGGCCTCGCTTGGCCCCTGCCCAGCTCAGGTCTGAAGGAGGGTCAGCTCTCTGACTCCATCTATGGTTTGAGCCACAGCCCCAGGGCAGGTAGACCTTCTGAGGCTCAGGACACAGGAATTCTTCCTTCCCCAAGCCAAAGAAAGTCACTTCATCCTAGCTGCAAGGAACACTGGAAAAATTAGCCAAACTTTCATTCATTGCCAGAAATTGATTTTCAAATAAAAGCAGGTGGTAAATGGCCAGGCACAGTGGCTCATGCCTGTAATCCTAGCACTTTGGGAGGCCAAGGCGGGTGGATCATTTGTGGCCAGGAGTTTGAGACCAGCCTGGCCAACAGGGCAAAACCCCGTCTCTACTAAAAATACAAAAATTAGCTGGGTGTGGTGGCGCACACCTGTAGTCCCAGCTACTCAAGAGGCTGAGGCAGGAGAATCACTTGAACCCACGAGGCAGAGGTTGCAGTGAGCCGAGATCATGCCACTGCACTCCAGTCTGGGCGACAGAGTGAGATTCCGTCTCAAAAAAGAAAGAAAAAAAGCAGGTGGTAGAGGTGGGCAGGCCCTCTAGGGGTGAAGGGCAGTTCTTGGGGTAGTCTCTTTCAGAACAGGGGAGCTCTCTCAGAACGAGCCCGCTCACATGAAATGGCCACACCGCATGTGCTGAGAAGGTGCATGGCCCCTCCCAGCCTCCTCCCCGGTTTCCTTTCTGCAGGGACCTTGCAGTCATGATCAGGGTGACGGAGGCCACCATGGGACCCAGGACACCCTGGGATCTCCAGAGGCCTGCTGCTCTGATACTTATTCTGGGATCCTAGCACTGGGGAAAAGGTGCCTCTAGGCCCAAATGACACAGATGCCATTTTCAAGAGTGCCCCACACTTCTAAGACATTCACACAGAAGCTTGCATTTCCAACGGACAAATTATATCTGCAAAGAACATTTCTCAGAGGCAACCTTAACTCCAGCAACTCCTCCCACGAGATGCATGGCACCACTTGTATGAGTTCATTTCTCCCTGTGTTTATTTTTTTTTCCTTTTTTTTTTTTTTTTTTTTTTTTTTTTTTTTTTTTTTTTTGAGATGGAATCTTGTTCTGTCGCCCAGGCTGGAGTGCAATGGCACAATCTTGGCTCACCGCAACCTTTGCCTCTCGGGTTTAAGCGATTCTCCTGCCTCAGCCTCCCGAGTAGCTGGGATTATAGGCATGCGCCACCACGCCCAGCTATTTTTTGTAGTTTTAGTAGAGACAGGGTTTCACCATGTTGGCCAGGCTGGTCTCAAACTCCTGACCTCAGGTGATCCACCCGCCTTGGCCTCCCAAAGTCCTGGGATTACAGGTGTGAGCCACCGCGCCTGGCCTTCTCCCTGTGTTTCAACGGCCCTTTTATGACATCCCCGAGGCTGGCTGTCTCTGTGAGACACCTGCACTTACCAACGGCGAGTCCCGGCGGGCCGCCCACCAAACCCCCGACGAAGGCCACAGCCCCTGTGACCAGGGCACCCTTCCCAGAGTGTTTGACAGCCGCCTTCATCTTCCTCTCCCCAGAAAGGGAGCACAGCAGCTTCATGATGTCCTCCACCATGATGGTCATCGTGGCGGGCCTTCAAGGGAGAAGTTCAGAGGGACAGTTTTAATGAGCATAAGAGTATTAATGCCACTCTAGTTCCCAGAGTTTTAAGGAAGGGTCCCCCTTTTCAGGAGAGCACAGCAGCTCCAAGCACCTGTAAGAGACAGCATCCAGACGGTGGAAAATTCCCACAGACAGGGCAGGCGGCAGTCAGTGAATAAGCAAACAGCAGCGGCTGAGTGGGTGAAAGGTCTTCTTTGCCCTCTGATTAACTTCTGACGTAGGACAGATTAAGGAGCAACCCAGCCACATGTTCTGCTGGTTCATCACGAGGGAGGTGGTCTGACCCTTCTGGCATCAGTGGCCTTTGCACTGGCCCGGGGAATGCCCTGCACACAAAGTCCAGCAGAGACCGGGAAATCCTGGCATGAGGCATCTGAGCTGAGGTCAAGCCAGAACCGGGGAAGGGATGGGGACTCTGTGACTACACGGGCACTCACCTCTGGTGGGCCCTGAGCAGAGGGTCAGATACCTTCCCTCTAAGACGGAGACAGTCCCTGCAGGCTGGACTCTCAGATGGTGCCAGCAGGATGGGCAGGAAGCGCCTGGCATAAGTCTGGAAGCCTGCAGGCTCCCGACCCAGGATGGCTCTGAACGAACACTGTTACTAACGCACACACTGGGCTGCCTTAAGCAACTGCTCTTAAAAGTCAACACAGTTGTACCCATGGGACACTAAAAGCAGGGACAAGATAAAGCAGGGAGAATAAAATACATGAAAGCATTCCCAGGCTTTGCGATATATATGGACAGAAAGATGGACGGGCAAGTGGACCTTCGGCACAATGACCTTTAGCACAATCCTCCACCGTAGGGAAAATGTGTGCCACGCTGGAGCCAGAGCAGGGAGGGATGGGCTCTAGAGAGCCCAAGGGCTGAGAAAATCAAAGGGGCCACGAGTTGGGGGATCTCCTCAGAGCTCTGGCTGAGCCCAAGGCTCCAGCAGTACTTCCCATTCTCACCGGCACTTCCCATTTCATTCTAGGTGGAAATATTGAAACAGGTGCTACAGCAACTCGACTGAGGAAGTTATGAATAGATTCTATTGTTTATTATCTTTTTTTTGTTTTTTGAGACAGGGTCTTGCTTTGTTGCCCAGGCTGGAGTGCAGTGGCACAATCACAACTCACTGCAGCCTTGACCTCTTGGCCTCAAGCGATCCTCCCACCTCAGCCTCCTGAGTAGATGGGACTACAGGTGTGCAATCACCACGCCCAGCTAATTTTATTTTTATTCTTAGTAGAGATGACTAGTATGTTGCCCAGGCTGGTCTTGGACTCCTGGGCTTAAGGGATCCTGCCTTAGCCTCTCAAAGTGTTAGGATTACAGGCATGAGCCACTACATTTGGCCTTAATATCTTTGGGTTATATGTTATATGAGGGTTTTTTTGGTTTGTTTTTGTTTTTGTTTTTTTTCAGAGACAGTGTCTCTTGTTGCCCAAGCTGGTGTGCAGTGGTGCGATCACGGCTCACTGCAGCCTTGAACTCCTGGGCTACAGTGATCCTCCCACCTCAGTCTCCTGAGTAGCAGGGGCTAAAGGCATGCAACACCACGCTCAGTTAATTTTTTGTTTTCATACAGACAGGGTCTCGCAATGTTGCCCAGCCTGGTCTTGACTTCCTGAGCTCAAGCAATCTTCCTGCCTCAGCCTCCCAGAGTGCTGGGATTACAGGCATGGGCCACCACACCCAGACATGTGTGCTTTTCTGACCCAAGGATGATCCAGAAGCAAAAGTCCCTACTGTACAATTGCTCTCCCAATCCTAGGATATAATTTTGAGCCCAGAGAACAAACCCATGAATCCATGAGAAGACCACAAAGTCAGGTTCTCAGAACTTCTCTGCAGTCCCAGGAGAGCATCCTGCGCTCCTGCCCCTGTCCATTTCCCTTCTTTTTCCCCTTTGGTACACATTAGACCTGTTCTCCACAAGTGCACAGGAATCACTGAAAACCTTGTTAGATGCAGCCAGTATGGGAGGGTAAGAGTCTGCATGTCCAACAAGCCCCCAAAGTGCTCCTCTGATCTCACTGTGGGCAGCAAGACCCCAAGAGGGCAAAACCCAGGACTCTGACATTCGTTACTCAGTCTTCCAATTCAGAAACTGCAAACAAGCACCCCTAGATATGTCTTTTTGACCCCATGAAGTATAAGAGGCAGTGGGAGGGCAGCCTTGTAAGCCCTGCTCATATAAGGGACTGGAGGAGCACTCAGGCCTGTGGGTCCCTGCTCTGACGACCCTGTGCCCTGGGTCTCCCAAAACCTGGTCTCCTGGTTTCCAGGCCCTGCCCAGCTCCTTTGCTTGCTGACAGGTTGAATGCCTCCTCCTTCTCCCCAGAAGAGAACCCCCTTCCACTATTCCAGTGTCAAGATTTGTTTACACACAAATGTCTAAACGATAAAATGGCATTATAACAGCGTCCCGACTGAACAGGCAAAAGCCACTCGGAAATGCGGAGACAGAAGGCAGAACCTGATTTATCCAGTCACCATGGTCCTGAAACAAAATGACATAGATAGATAGAGATATTGACAGAGAGATATTTTTTTTTTTTTTTTGGGAGACAGAGCCTGCCTCTGTCACCTAGGTCACTAGGCCTGCAGTGTAGTGGCACGAATCTTGGCCACTGCCGCCTCCACCTCCCAGTTCCAAGTGATTCTCCTGCCTCAGCCTCCCGAATAGCTGGGACCTACAGACATGCACCACCACACCTAGCTAATTTTTTGTATTTTTAGTAGAGATGGGTTTCACCATGTTGGCCAGGCTGGTCTAGAACTCCTGACCCTCAGGTGATCTGCCTGCCTTGGCCTCCTCAAAGTGCTAGAATTACAGGCGTTGAGCCACACGTCCACCACGTCCAGCAACAAATGAGATATATTTCAGGACATATTAAGGTAACCAAGGAAATAATTTTACAGTAAAATCTTACAAAAAGCTCAAAATCCTTGGTGTAAAATATCTAATCACCTTGAGTTCTGTTCTGTTTATATCCAGCTTTCATCTGTCAATTATATTGGAAAAAGGAGGGCCCCTTTGGAGGCTGCAAGGAACCTCCCTTTCCCAGGGTGTGAAGACCCTGAGGCCCTGCCATGCTTGGTCTGCCAAGACTGGCTTCCAGGTCAGTGGCCTTGGACACCACTCCCACAACAGGTTTTCTGCAGTTTGGGGAGTGGTGTTTTTGGGTCTGCACTCTCAAAAAACAGTTTCTGCAACAGCAAGGAAATGCATGTAGAGGTGGAAAGAAGGCAGGCAGGAAACAGATACATAAACACTTTTAGCCTCACTGGCTACCCCAAAAAAAAAAAACCTAGCTTCCGACCTGCTCCGAATGACTTTACATGAAAATCTACAGAGGCTCAAGAGATGCCCTTGCAAAATGCTACTTCCACCCTACTGGCCAGCCAGGCCCGGCAACAATGTTGAGAGGAGAGAGAGCAATCAATTAGGCAAATAGTTAGGGGGGGGCAAGGTCCCTTGGCAGAATTCCCTTCTAACACTAAAGCAGCCTAAGAGGTTTGTTTCCCTTTTCCAAAAACACAGATTAAGGAAGGCCAAGCTCTAATACAGAAAACAGGTCCTGGTGTGAACATACAGACTAACGGTGGGCCCAGTATCACAGTCCTCTCCCTACTTAAATAAATAACTCCAGCATGGCTGGGCCACGGTGCTCATGCCCCTGTAATACCAGCCATTTTGCGGAGGCCAAGGTGGCGGATCACGAGGTCCAAGAGATGGAGATCATCCTGGCCACCATGGTGAAATCCCGTCTCTACTAAAAAAAACAAAAAATTAACAAGGATTGTGGTGGTGCCTCCACCTTGTAATTCCCAGGCTACCTCGGGAGCTGAGGCAGGAGAATGTGCCTGAACCCGGAAAGGCAAGGTTGCAGTGGCGAGATCCACGCCCACTGCAACTCCAGTTCTGGCAGCAGAAGCGAGACTCCGTCTCAAAAAAACCAAAGAAATACTCAGACACCAGAGGCTTGCATGGCACGAATAGAAGAGCTACCCTGGGACCACAGGCCAATGTCCATCCTTGGAGTGGTTCTACCCCACCAAACCTTTTTTCATACATGCAACAGTAGAAGAAATAAGCCAACATGGAGTATAGTAACTCCAGGCTAACAGAGACCGCATGTTGCCACCTTAGAAAGGCTGAGTGGGAGGGACTCAGAAATTCCACACTTATGTAAATGAAGCACCCTCCCACCCAGCTTGTCTATAAAACCCTTTGCATTTCACTTGTAAAAAATGGCAGCCCACTTTCTGGACCCCTCTCTGGATCAGAGAGCTTTTCTTTATTTCAAGTTTATAAAACTCTCCTCTTAAAACCTAACCCTCTGGAGTGTCTGCGATCCCCTTGAATTTCTCTGGCCGTGAGACCAAACCGAACTTCCGTGACAATCCTCAGACAATAGGCCAGGTTTTCCACTGAGACACCAAGCCAGGGGGCCTCCCGCAGAATGGAGGGCCCCGCGCTATCACTGCGTGTGTGAGGCAGGTGGAAGGGAAGTTCACTGCGTTTTAAATACTGCTGCAAC